ATGCAAAAGATTAGAACCATTGTTAATAAAGTATCTTCTTCTTCTACTTTAAAAAATCATTAAAATAAATAAAACAGGACATTGATCAGAATAACAGTACCATTATAATCACATTAAATAGAAAAGCTACTGTTATTTTAAGGATGTAACAAAGGCAGTACCATACATATTTTGTGACTCAGAGGCTTCAGATGGCCATGATAAACCAGGGTAAAAGTATCCCACGGACAGCTGCTCACTCAATGAAGAAAAGAACCTCGGTTCTCAAGATCTGCCCTTGGATGATTCTAACATCATGTGACAGGTGAGACAGGTGGGTAGGCATTGTCTGCACAGAACTCTACAGTTAGTAAAATAGTTACTTAAACTGTTTTACCTTGTCACAGTTTTCATTTCTCTTGTTTCATTAAAAGACTGTCCAAGTTGTGTGCGATTTTAGGTTCAACCATGTTTACACGTGCAGATATGTATCTGGTTGTAACAACAGATGGGTCTGACTCCCTGTGATGTGAGAAATGGTGCACCCTTAAGTCTGTTTAGATGAGACTAAAATAATTTTGTGATAAGAAACAGCCTTATTCAATATATATACATATATTTAAAAATGAGCAGTAAGGAGCAGACATAACTCTTTACTACTCATACCCTTGACGACCAGGAAATGACAATAAACTTTAGAAAAATACAATGCAAGAAAAGATTCAAGTTGAAAATATATTCCTTTGGTTAAAAATCATCCCCTTTGTGATCATTTGTACTCTTAACTCAGAGCAAGTCCAAGCAGCCACAGGCATGCTCTTGTCACTACTACATTGCACACTACAGTGGTTTTCCAGTCTAGCAGGTATGGAGCTCACTGGCGGCAGCAACAAAAATGAACCGGAAAGCCTTGGAGCATCATCTTGATGGTCGTCTTTACTTCTGGTTCCTCAGACACATGTACTTTTCTTCAGATACTGTATAGTCAAACTTTTTGTAGAAGCCGACGTTTTGTGGTAGACATTCAAGGGTGATCTTGTAACAGTTCAGCTTCTTGCTTAGCAAAGTGAGAGTTGATAATAACCTGAAATTTTGAAAAGGGAAGTGTGGGAGACAGTGTGAACCAAAATGGGCCTTGATGATGCTACAGATTAGTGATATATACAAATAAAACTAGTATTTATTAAGCACTCCTTTAAGTATCAAATGATGAAGTTGATAAGCATTTAAATTACTGAAGCATTTCTGTCTTGTTTCCGACACCGCCCCCAGCCTATTAACTAACAGCCGACACCTCTTTATGGGAGGAGGGCTCCAGTGCAGCATGGTGGGGGGCCGTTTTGCAGCTCTCCTTTAGATGGGCTCTAGAAATCACTGCAAGTGCGGTCACTCTCTCGCCCATCTCACCAGCCTCTGAACATTTTTTTGTGTGAGGGTTGGAGAGATGATTTTCCAGAAGATGGGTTCAATTCCTAATACATACATAGTTTCTAACTGTGTCTGCATTTCCAGGTGATCTGGAACCTGGCCTACATAGGTACCAGACTTATAAGTGGTACACAGACATACATGCAGGCAAAACACCTATATGCATAAAATTTAAAAAAATTCACATGCAGGACTAGAGAGCTGGCTTGGCATTAAACGAAGCACACTGGCTGCTCTTGGATCTGACTCCTGCTTTGGTTCCCAACAACCACATGGTAGCTCACAACCATTTGTAACTCCTCTCTCAGGGCATCTAATGCTGCTGTCTGCCTTCTAAGGTACAGGGAACACAAGTGATGCACTTGTAGGTGAAATACCCACTCAAGTAAAACAATTTTTAAAAGTTCACACGTGAGCATAGGTATAGTGAGTGGCATACTTGTAATTCCACCATCTGAGAGCCTGAAGCAGGAAGATTGCTGTGAGTTCAAGGAAGGCCAGCTGAACTAACTGCACACATGTGTAAGACAAGCACAGACTCAGAGACTGGGTATAAAAATACCAAGGGCTGAGAAAGCAGCAGTGAGGAGTGCTTGCCAAGCATGTGTGTGAAGTTCTAGGTTCAATCCTCCGTACTGGGATTGCAGAACCTGAACACAGCCAAATAAATAACTAACAACACTTTTTTTAAATACTAAAGACTATCAAATTGTGAGAATAATGGCCCGAATTATTTTTATGTAAGGACTCTAACTGGCTGTGGTGTTACACCTGTAACAGCACCTAAGAGGTGAAGGCAAGAGGGTCTGGAATTGAAGGCTCTCTTTTACCATAGCAAACCAGATCTTATGTCAAAAGACAAACCCCAAAATATGTTTGTGCCAGGGGCGGGGGATGGAACTCAGCGTTCAGGTTTGCCTAACATGCAGAATGTCCTCAATTCCTTATGGAACACTGTAAGGTTGCAGGTGGGGTGCCTTTGTTCTAAATGTACCCAAGTAAACACTTGCCATGTTCACATATATGAGTAAGTAATAGCTATAGTCTTAAAACAGTCTCATTATATAGCCTTGGCTGGCCTGGAACTGGCCATGTAGACCAGGTTAACTCACAGAGATATGCCTGCCTCTGCCTCTTTGAGCTGGGATTAAAGGTATGCCACCATGCCAAGCTTCATTAGTCATCTTAAAAGCTGATTTTTGAAGATGTGGGTCAAATAAACTTGATTAGTCTGAATAATACATGTATGTATTATTCAGAAACCATCTTACAAAGCCCAAGGAATAAGAATCCTGCATAAATATGTAATCTAAAGTGGGCCATGATGGTTCACACCTTTAATACAAGCACTTAGGTAGAAGCAGGCAGGAAAAAAAAAAAAAAGATCTAACTGCTGTAAGATATTAAATACACTAAAGGTGCTAACTAAGAGGTTTTCTCCTGTTGTGTGTGCTTGTGCATTTAGAAAGATCTTGTCATTAAAAGTTAAAAGAGGTTACTTTCCATAAGCCAGGCCTATTCTCCACTACTCCAGAGGCTGAGGAAGGAGGATCACAAGTTCATAGCCATGCTGAACTTAATGATACCCTTGTCTCAAAAAGAGAAAAAAGCCAGGCGTGGTAGTACACACGTTAATCCCCACAGTGGGAAGCAGAGGCAGGCAGATCTCTGAGTTCGAGGTCAGCCTGGTCTACAGAGTGGTTCCAGGACAACCAGGACTACACAGAGAAACCTTGTCTCTAAAACAAAAAGGTGTGCAAGTGGGGGCGACTAGTGACATAACTCAATGGTAGAACACAGTTCGATTACTTGCTACTCTGGTAAATGGAATATGTTTTCAATTCTCAAACTTGGGGGGCGGGGGGGAGTAAAAACTAGTGGCACTATAATTTTTCATTAAATTCAGTCTAAGATATAAAGTGAGAATGAGTTCAGAAACCAAAGGTCAGAAAGAACAACCAGGAAGACCTTATGAAATAAGTTTCTTGCTGAGAGACCAAACAGGGACAGGCCGTCCTGTTTGCAGGGTTCCAGGTGCTTACTCACAGTTTGCCGAGCTGCTTCCCTCTGCACTCGTGACTAACAACGACGTCTTCTACTCTCCCCCTCTACAAATGATCACAGTGGGACAGGAGGAGCGTTCAGCCTGTTTTCCACTAAGCTAGCAATACCAGTTATAATTATAGTCTTTATCATAGAGAAAACAAAAAGTCAGGTGTGCCTCAGATTTTTAGTTATATCTCCAACCTCTCTTCTGTTTAAAACTCCAATCCCAATCATCATAATGAAATCTTGTCATAAACACAGTACATCCAACGTCGCTTAATTACATTTTACTAATTTCAAGTGCAGAAAGCAAAATCCATAACCTAGATACTCTCCCCCACACACTTTGCCTCTCTCTCTCTCTCTCTCTATATATATATATATATATATATATATATATATATATATATCTCAAGGGTTTTGGGTGACTCTGTGTAGCCGGGTCTGTCCTGGAACTCACTCTGTAGCCCAGGCTGGCCTTGAACTCAGAGATCCACCCGCCTCTGCCTCCCGAGTGCTGGGACCAGAGGTGTGCCCCACCACACCTGACCAGAGAACTTTTCTAAATGCTCCTTTTTTCCTACATTCAGAGAGCTTGTGTGTGAATGGCTTGGGGCATCTGTGGAGGTCAGACTACACCTTGTAACAGTTCTCTCTCCACCATGTGGGTCCCAGGGATGAACTTGGGCGGTTCGACTCGGCACCGACCTTTACCACTTGTGTTATCTCACTAGCTCATCTGTCTGGTTTTCATTGATTTGTAACTCACAGAAACTTGAGGAAAGTGTCTTCTGCTGAAGAATTCCAGCAAAGAAAAATTATGGGAAAACCGATTTTTTCTAATGAAGCTTCTAAGCTGGTTTCATTAGAAATCATCTCTGCACTTTACTCGTAGGCATTAAAGTGATCACATACCTTAGCACATGAATGGATAAATTTATGTTCTATGATCAGAGTTGCTGTAGCAACAATTTGTCCTAGGGTCACATCTTCCACAACTATAACATAGTAATCCCCAGTCTTCTTCTTGTGCTCAAAAGAATCTGGGGAAATGTTAAAAAAGTGTTAGATGGTAGACAATAAAGAAAAGTTCCAGGCTTGTCTGACTTCATCTTTGAATAGTAAAGCTATTTTCCATAGGGCTTTGGTGTCCACTTTTTTTTTTTTTAAGACAAAGCAAGTGAAGTCAATCAAGCATAAGATATTTGTTTATTGAGACAGGGTGTCACTATGTCCCTCTGGCTATTTTAAAATTCAATGTGTAGAACAGACTGGTCTCAAACTCAAAGAGATCCACCTGCTTCTGCCTCCCAAACTCTGGGATTAAAAGTATGTGCCATTGCTGGGCGGTGGTGGTGCACGCCTTTAATCCCAGCACTCGGGAGGCAGAGGCAGGCCAATCTGTTCAAGGCCAGCCTGGTCTACAAAGTGAGTTCCAGGAAAGGCGCAAAGCTACACAGGGAAACCCTTTCTCAAAAAAAAAAACAAAAACAAAAACAAAACAAAACAAAAAAATTATGTGCCACTACACTTGGCTAGTTTAAACTTGTAAAACTACTATGTTATTTAAAATTCCAAGGAGTTGAAATACCATCAATTAGCACTGAATGGTCCACACATAGAGATGTAACCCAGAGGGAGGGCTTGCCTCTGTGCCCAGAAACACACACATAAAATCTAGTACAAAGTAAGTCTTGGGTCTTTTAGGTGAACAACACTGTATTACAGATAAATAGTACATGTAGCCAGTTGTGTGACTAAATGTCAATATCTGCCGATTTAATATAC